ATGCATATATACATATATATATATATATATATATATATATATATAATTTACTATATAATATAGTATAAGTCATATTATGAAATTTTAGTTGTTTATAAAATGTGATTAGATTACTATTTTTAAATAATTAGTTTTAAAATAATAATATTGAAGTTAATTTTATATTGATAATTATTTTGTATATTTAGAACTACCTTTATAAGATATTGGTGACTCTTAAAATCTTATTTTATTTCTTTTATTTGGTAATTAAGACATACATTATATAAAAATTATTAGAAAAAGGATTAGAAAAGGATTCTAATGTAAAAAAAATAATTAAGTTAATTATATGGATGAATGGAGATGGATGATAAAAATCTCCAATCTTATTGATCAAAATTCATGCCCAATGGATTTCAAGGAGGCTACTCGAGGCCTTGTTAGGAATTAGGGTTATTCTTTCAATGCCATTCAAACTTGAGAGGCTAGGATCACAAAGTTTAGGATTTTAGCTATGATTTTGGTACAAATTTTGAATAATTTGGAGTTCTTATGAAAGAAATATAGGCATTTAAAGTTAAGGTGTTGATTTTGTATCTATTATTATTCTTTTGGACATAACATAGATGATCAAAAAATAATGATGGATCAGCAATTGAGATTTGAGAGAATACTTTTTTGGCTATACTTTTCACATAATGCTTGATGAATTCTAAGCTGAGATGAAGGTGGTGTAGAAAGTTGAAATCAGTGCTTGCAATTTAAGGACATTTAAGGATAAGGTCTACAACATCTATAAATTTGAAAAAAAATGAATAGTTGGATCAAGAGATATGAATTTTTAAAATTTGGAGAGAAAAATCTTTTATGGAAAAAAATATTTTGAAAAGTTTTTGCTACAATTTGAGCATTTTATGCAACATAAAGAGAGTTTTAGAAGCTAAGACTTTATGTACATATTAAAGATGGAGATATGGGACTATGACAAAATTATAATATAAAGATGGATTCTTCTAAGAAAAATAGGAATTTTCTTTGAATTTATTAAAAATCAAGCTAATTGGCTAATGATTTAGTTATCACTTGGTATAATAAAGGATATTAGGATATTTTTAGATGCTTTAAAAAGTCTTATATATAAAAATTCTTAAATATAAAAGATTTTTTTAAAAGAATATTTTTTGATAATATTATATTTATTTGGCTTCTATAATAAGAATACATCACTAATTGGAATTTATCCAATATGTTAAGGCTAAACATTCTACAGTAAGATTCTTAATATATTCTAAGATAGAAAACCATGCCATATAATACTAAAAAAAATATAAAGATTATTAATTGCTCTTTTTAGATATTCTTATTTTATACCAAAAGAATGAGATGTAACTTTTGACAAACAAAAAATAATTCTCTTAAAGCCAAAGTATTTTCAACTTTGAGCAATAAAATCAATATTGATTGTTGATTCAACCTTTGTCAAGAAAATTTAATCAAATATGTCTTTTGATCTTTTTGTTCATGATATCAAGAATAATTCTTTTAAGTTTAATACTTCCAAATTCAAGTTCAAGAATAATCTATTCTACTTTGAAGAATGATTATACATTCCAAAAAATAAAGTAAAATTATATGTTTTTAAAGCCTATCATAACTTTCTAGCGACCAGATATTTTAGATACAATAAGACTTTGGAGCTAATATCTAGAGATTTTTGGTGGCTTCAAATATGAAAGGAAATTAAAGACTTTATACAATCATATAATATTTATTGAAAATCCTAAACTCCTTGTTATTAATCTTACAGACTTCTTCAGCCATTATCTATATTAGAACAACCATGGTCTTTTGTTCCTATGGATTTTATCACAGATCTTCCAATTTCAAATTTGTATGATTTTATATTTGTGATATTAGATTATTTTACTAAGGTGGAACATTTTATACCATATAAAAAATTTATTATAAGTCAAGAAGTAGCTAAGTTTTTTCTTGATAACATTTATCACTATTATAGATTATCAAAGGATATTATATTAGATAGGAGGATTCAATTTATATCAAGATTTTAGAGAATATTTTTTAAGATATTAAAGATAGATATAAAAATTTCTTTGGCTTTTAATTTCTAAAATAATGGGCAAAAAAAAATAATTAAATTAGATTTTTGAGCAGTATTTGAGATGTACCATCAATTATCATCAAGATGATTAGACAACTCTTTTTCCATTGGCACACTTTATATAGAATAATTTGATATATTTTTCTATTCAAATAATACCTTTTTTTACTAATTATGATTATCACCTATTACTTAATATTTTTAACTTTTTAAAAGTTGATAATCCTATAATAAAAAAATTGACAAATTATTTATCAAAATTACATACAATAATAAATGCACAATTAAAAGAAACTCAAGAACAACAAAAAATCAATGCAGATGCCTATTGCAAGGAACAACCACAATTCAATATGGATAATAAGATATGATTACTTTCTTGCAATATCAAGACTACTTGTCCTTATGACAAGTTGGACTATTATAGGCTTGGACCTTATTCTATTAGTGAATAAGTCAATTTTGTTGCTTATTAATTAAATCTATTAGAGTTTATGAAGAGCTATTTCATATTCTATGTATTTCTTTTTGAGCCATATAAGACAATGAATATTTCAAAAAAAAGACAAATGTCACGTCTTCTTATGGAAGAGATAATAATCAAGAATAAAAGGTAGAAGAAGTTTTAGATTTAAGGTGGCACCAAAATAGATTAAAATATCTTGTTCATTAGTACAGATATGCTATTAATGAATGCACATAGGAACCAACAAAAAATCTTATAAATACAACAAAGAAGGTTGAAATTTTTCATCAATGACATCCATCAAAACTAAGATGAAGAATACCAAATCTTTACTATAAAAGAAATAAAATCTAAAAAAGATAGCATTCTACCTTTTATTCTTATTTATAACTTTTGTACATTTGTAATGCTAAGGAAATAGAGAACCAATAATAAGCAGATTCAATTAAAGAGCTAATACTTGCTAACTTATCAAACAAGACATTGTAATTATCAGAACCTTCAAGACGACATAATTGAAATGTAGATCTTTAAGAACAACATGTTTTTTTGTGATAAGATGGTGAGATATAACATATTTGGTATCATGACCTTAGAAGAGACTTTTGATGTTTAGTGATTATATTAGAAGTAGAAATGACTATTGATAGTATTACAAATATTTTATTTGAAGGAAGTTATGAAGGCCTCAACAATGATCAAATAAAAGGGTGGTGTTTCCACTTAGGTATGAAAAACTATTAATAGTTGAGAGAACCTATTAACCATCTTTGAAAAGAACAAAAATCAAAGTATGTAGAAAATATAATTTTTTAGATTTTGGATTTTTTCAATACATGATGATTGCTTCTTGTAGACCTCATCTCTAAAAGAAGAAGTAATGTCATGGACATACATATTTATTCTAATATCTATCTATATGATTAAATAGAAATAGATAAAAGTAGATATATTTCATAATAAGTTTTAGAGAAGCTTCTTAGAAGCTTCATAGACGTTGCTTTGACTTTATATATATTTGAAGTTGATTGGTAGGTCAAAAACTTTGGTCAAAAAATTAACCATGTATTGATAAATTGTAGAACAAGCTAACTATGTGGTGTATATATAGAAAACTTACTTTGTAAATTAAAATATATGTCTTACAAAGTCAACACGTTTTGGAGGTCCTATAAAACATTGCTACATAGTTTTTAGGTAAGAATATATATGGAGGTAAGATTGAAGCCTTCTTCACTCTTGTCAATGCCTTATTAGTCCTTAGTCTTGTTTCAAGACTTTTTAGTCTTCTTGTTTTTGGCAATAGTTATTCTAGTTTAATACTATACTATCTTTGAGTGACTTTTTGTTCTTTTGAATGACATAAAAGTGTACTGAGAATTTTTTTTCTTTGAACTTTATGTCCTTAACAGGAAGACACTTTCAAATTTGATGCTATAAGATAGTCTTATGCTAAAAGCTAGGCTCTAATTGGCATAGCACAAAGGAGGGTATCTTGCCAAATTTGATGCACCAAGTTGATTATTAACTCAAGATAGCTCAACAAAGTAGTTGTCGGCTTAAATTAATGCATAGAAATACTTGTCAACTTTGGTCCACACAAAGATGTGGTGAGTGTGGCAATGTAGTTGCTAGCCCTGGTCAACTTGAAATGACAACTATAATATGGTAGTTGTTGATTTTAATTGGAGTTGTAAAAAGTTCTGCCTATTTTGACACCATAAAAGTGTTATAGAGGAAGTATTTTGGAAGAAGGGGAGGAGTGGGGGTTTTCAATTAAATTTTGAATTAAATTTAGAAGATGGAAGATATGAGATATTATTTGGAGATGACCAAAAATAAAAAAGAATGGAAACAAAAATCTAACTCAAATTTGGTGGATTAGATACAATTGGATGTTTGAATTTTTATGGTCTTATCAATATACTTACATCTATAGGTAGCAAAGAATTAAATAAAGTTTGGTAGAATTAAGAAGTGCCAAATATCATAGTTTTGTAAGAATTAGATTCTTGATGTTGTAAGCTAGCACTAATTGGAATTAGATATGTCTATGTATTCAAAAAAGGTGAAGACAATCTTCAACTAAAACATTTATATAAATTTTGTTTTTTGGCCAAATTCTATAAAAAGAATTGGAATCCTCCTCATTTTTACTTTTATACATGGAGGTATTTGTTTTCCATTTTTCCACCTACTCAATACATGCTGAAATGCACAACATAACTGAAATCGGTCGTCTAGCTTAACGTGGCTAAAAGATTTCCTCCAACGACAACCACTATCGTTTTATTTGCTTACATGTCACATAATTGTGAGATCAAATTTGTTAGAATATATGGTAAAAAAATCAGTCCCTGACGCTTACACAGAAAACGGCTGAAACATATTAACTATTGCCAAAACCCTACTTCGTAACACTAAGACACGTGGAAAAAGCTCTTAAATTTATTTCAGGTGGTTATGACTAAATATCAAAAATAACAAATTATTGATTCCTAGATTTCAAAATGTACCAACAAGCCAACAAAACGCAGTGCAGTTTGTTCGCAGACATACAAAATCACAAACCATGGATTTGCGACCAACAACAATCTGTATCCATCTCCAGAATAGTCAATTTTTAGAAGGTGTTATTCCAACAAACAAATGCTGAACAAAACTGCCTGTGCAAGCTATAGCCTCCCCCATTGCGCACTGGACCACCCCTCCTCGTCGAACTAGCAATGGATTGCCGATTTATGTGCAGTGAAAGCCACCCCTCTTCGTCGAACTAGCAATGGATTGCCGATTTATGTGCAGTGAAAGCCAGCGATCACTCAAAGCTTTTCCACCGTCAACACTGAATTGGGTACATTGCCAACTCTGCAACACTTGAGAAAAAATTATGCGAAACTGTGCCGCATCATCCCCTGAAACAGCTTATTTGAGGACCATCAGGCTTGACTCGTGCTGCCATTGTTCCCTGGTTCGGTACTACAGCTCCATGCCCGCGGCCATCCAGCTCCATCAGGCACCGGAGGATCACCTCGCACCGTTGGAAGCAATTTTTCCTGCTCCTACATATCATATGCCACTGCTATGGCGGCATCACACTGGGTTCCTGTCGACCGCCGAATCCGCACCCCACAACTACCCTCACACAACCAGACTTCGTGCTCCAGCTTAAGCTACATACAGATAACACTGCGCCGTGAAGGGAGAGCTCCATGTCATTCCACTGGCTCTCGGTGCAAGCCTCGGCGCCAGACCTCCTAGCGTCCCGCCCACCAACGCGTACGTGTATTTCCCCATCGGGCTCTCGGCGCCTCCGGATGTGGTGATCTTCAGCAGTTGCCACGGTAACCCTTCAACATCCATGCGTACGGGCCTGGTGCACATTTGTCCCGACAGCCAGTATCCGCTAGGCCCCTTGAACTGCCACATCGTCTTGCTGCCGTATCGGTCTGGTCTCGTGGCAGTGCCAAACTTGCCCAAAGCGTTTCCGCCCGCGACCTCGGCAATGGTGGCAAAAATGCCCTGGTACACCCATTTCCCGCCGGTGAACTTGTACGTCACCTTTCCTTCCAGAAACACGACTTGAACGAAGGTTGCTTTGGGGGTGATAGAGGCTGGCATGCGAGGAGGTTCACGGTCTTGGTTGTAAAACTTGAAAGTTCCCCCAAACGGGACGCCGGATGTGGCACCGTTGGACGCGCACAGAGCTTTGCGCGGAGGCAGACCACCCTTGGTCCTCGTGAGCGAAACAAACGCAACCTGCGAAGCGTCCCCTGAACCGCGATGGACCTTCACGATGGCGAGGTACTCAGGGATTGCGGACGAAGAAACCCTCACGGACTTCACAAGCGTAGCTGCATTGCCAGAATACACATGTAAGCACACTTTTACAAGAACCAGCAGCGAAGACGGAATCCTACTCCGCAGATTGTTTATCTGCAACACAACTAGGAAAAATGTACTCTGCATGGTTACCTTGCAGACCGCTGATAGATTGGCCAGATTCGTAATAGCCCCCTGCAGAGTTGATGATGTTCCAGTAATACGTCACCACCCGCGTCTTCGCATTGTAGACGGACCGGTACGTCCCAAGCTTTGAACCATCCTGTGCGTACAGATTAGAAGAAGAGCCCGTCCTCGTCCAAGACCCGCGGTTGCAGACATATGTCTGAGAACCCTTCGCAATGGTTCCCGTGAATCCCACGCTGCAAAATACACCCCGTTCGCTTAGAAGGACGCATGCACGGAGCTTGTAAAACACAAGCTTGCGGAAATCAAATAATCAGAGTTGCTGGAACATGATCATCCATCAGATTCACAACCCTTGACTCGTGAAGTTGTGAGAACGTAGGCTTGCAAGCACAAAGTGCAGTGGTTGTATACCTGTATCCTCTGGGAGGAACTAGGCCAATTGCAGAAGCAACACTCCACAACTGCCATTGCAGAAGTACGGCGAAGAGACAGAGAATGGTGCTCTTATACGACATGTTGAGAGCGTTGGATAAGCGGCACACTGGGTACAATGCGGTGGGTGTAAACTCGGAACTCAACAAAACCGCATGATTGTGGGACACGGAATGAGAGGTGTCCAAATCGGCGCCACAAGACCACTGCGATACAATCAACACAGGAAAGCTAATTGACCATGAGAGGCTAGGGAGTGGAGGGAACTTATAGGCAGGATCTTGTGGAAAGCAGGAAGCAGGCATGTTCGAATTCTGACTCTCTGGCTGCCAATCGCTTGGTGTCGCCGTGGCTTCCGTCGTCTAAATCAGCGCTTGTTGATGTGGGCTATTAATATACCAGGACTTCCAATCATCCAGCCGGTCCGCTGTGGCGCATGCTCCGGATATGTAGCTGAAAGCCTTGACTTCTGTCGACTGATCCTTCTTGCCATGGCACCTCTTCAGTACTTCGCACCGGGATTGGGTATCCGAGCGTCCTTGGGACTGTTCGTGTCGTCTCCAACATTTTGTTGGCAGTCTCCTCAGTTTAGAGACTTGATTGTCTTCCTGACCACCATCTACGGATTGGCGCTTGCCTGCTGCTGACACTCTGGTTAATTTGCGCATTCCTTCCTTCCGAAACACCACTTCTGTCCTTGTTTTAATCAACCATCACTCAAAATTCCCAATTCAGCGTTTACGCTGCTTAGCACATGATGCTTGGTGATGTCCTGGATTAGATCGCACCTTGTTTCAGCTGAACCCCGCCCCTAACACGCCCTAGCTTCTAACTCCTGGGAGTTGCTCAGCGCCTCTGGGAGATTGCAAAAACTCACTGGCGTTAGTTCACCCAGATGGTAATCAAGGGTGGAGTTAACTCAACGCAGGCACAATGCGACTGCACACTCCACCGTTATATCTAGGGTTTCTTCTATATTATTTTTTTGTTTAAACCTCATACTTGTGATAACGAATGAAAGATCTAAAAGTTTGTCAGTATTCGTTGTTTTCCCTTTGGAGTGGCTCAATCATATGAGTCGTTTTATTGTGAGGAGACGACATGTAAATTCTTGTATCTGAAAATTGTGGTAGAACCGTGTGATAGAAATGGATTTTACAAAAACTTTATAAACTTTGTTAGGATTGTTAAAAAGTGGTTGTTGAATATAAAAGCACCAAATTTTTTATGTTTATTGCATTTATTATAATGAAAAATGTGTGCGCAAAAATATTTGCACTAAAAATAAATTTGTGATCTATTTTATGACCTCTTCAAATGGCAAAGTTTTAAAAGGATAATTTTTCTTCTTCAGGTTGAAAAGCTTTCTAATTTTGTTGTATTATTTCTCAGAATCTATTTGTAGGTTTAAAGTCTTCTATAACTAGATGCAATTGTCATTTAAGAATCCAATCTTGTTAACAATCATATCAATATTGCCAAAACTTACTTAGATATTTTTCCTATCATCACAACTAGGAACAAATTATTACATCAACATGTGCACCTCTAATACTAACCAATCTGTAGACGATCATTTAGACATTTGAAAATAGTTTTAATCTAACACAACATAATTTGACAATTAGACAGTTCTAACACAATCACAAAAAAATAAATGCAATCCACCACATCTAAATGTGACAACACCAATGCAAATATAATCAGGTGACGTCTATGACTTGAAAAACTGTCTATCCAAAAAAAAAAAAAAAAAAACCACGAGAAAAAAATAACACAAACACCCAAAAACACAACATTATGAGCACCTCATTATGCACAAACCACAAATAACGAATACTTAAAATATCAGACTGCATATCAACATTTGGCTTCTAAAAAGAAAATTCTAAAATCAAACAAAACGTTCTACGACGGATTCTTTAGCTGTCAGATTTGGGACATGCCTGCTTCCTGCTTTCCACAAGATCCTGCCTATAAGTTCCCTCCACTCCCTAGCCTCTCATGGTCAATTAGCTTTCCTGTGTTGATTGTATCGCAGTGGTCTTGTGGCGCCGATTTGGACACCTCTCATTCCGTGTCCCACAATCATGCGGTTTTGTTGAGTTCCGAGTTTACACCCACCGCATTGTACCCAGTGTGCCGCTTATCCAACGCTCTCAACATGTCGTATAAGAGCACCATTCTCTGTCTCTTCGCCGTACTTCTGCAATGGCAGTTGTGGAGTGTTGCTTCTGCAATTGGCCTAGTTCCTCCCAGAGGATATAGGTATACAACCACTGCACTTTGTGCTTGCAAGCCTACGTTCTCACAACTTCACGAGTCAAGGGTTGTGAATCTGATGGATGATCATGTTCCAGCAACTCTGATTATTTGATTTCCGCAAGCTTGTGTTTTACAAGCTCCGTGCATGCGTCCTTCTAAGCGAACGGGGTGTATTTTGCAGCGTGGGATTCACGGGAACCATTGCGAAGGGTTCTCAGACATATGTCTGCAACCGCGGGTCTTGGACGAGGACGGGCTCTTCTTCTAATCTGTACGCACAGGATGGTTCAAAGCTTGGGACGTACCGGTCCGTCTACAATGCGAAGACGCGGGTGGTGACGTATTACTGGAACATCATCAACTCTGCAGGGGGCTATTACGAATCTGGCCAATCTATCAGCGGTCTGCAAGGTAACCATGCAGAGTACATTTTTCCTAGTTGTGTTGCAGATAAACAATCTGCGGAGTAGGATTCCGTCTTCGCTGCTGGTTCTTGTAAAAGTGTGCTTACATGTGTATTCTGGCAATGCAGCTACGCTTGTGAAGTCCGTGAGGGTTTCTTCGTCCGCAATCCCTGAGTACCTCGCCATCGTGAAGGTCCATCGCGGTTCAGGGGACGCTTCGCAGGTTGCGTTTGTTTCGCTCACGAGGACCAAGGGTGGTCTGCCTCCGCGCAAAGCTCTGTGCGCGTCCAACGGTGCCACATCCGGCGTCCCGTTTGGGGGAACTTTCAAGTTTTACAACCAAGACCGTGAACCTCCTCGCATGCCAGCCTCTATCACCCCCAAAGCAACCTTCGTTCAAGTCGTGTTTCTGGAAGGAAAGGTGACGTACAAGTTCACCGGCGGGAAATGGGTGTACCAGGGCATTTTTGCCACCATTGCCGAGGTCGCGGGCGGAAACGCTTTGGGCAAGTTTGGCACTGCCACGAGACCAGACCGATACGGCAGCAAGACGATGTGGCAGTTCAAGGGGCCTAGCGGATACTGGCTGTCGGGACAAATGTGCACCAGGCCCGTACGCATGGATGTTGAAGGGTTACCGTGGCAACTGCTGAAGATCACCACATCCGGAGGCGCCGAGAGCCCGATGGGGAAATACACGTACGCGTTGGTGGGCGGGACGCTAGGAGGTCTGGCGCCGAGGCTTGCACCGAGAGCCAGTGGAATGACATGGAGCTCTCCCTTCACGGCGCAGTGTTATCTGTATGTAGCTTAAGCTGGAGCACGAAGTCTGGTTGTGTGAGGGTAGTTGTGGGGTGCGGATTCGGCGGTCGACAGGAACCCAGTGTGATGCCGCCATAGCAGTGGCATATGATATGTAGGAGCAGGAAAAATTGCTTCCAACGGTGCGAGGTGATCCTCCGGTGCCTGATGGAGCTGGATGGCCGCGGGCATGGAGCTGTAGTACCGAACCAGGGAACAATGGCAGCACGAGTCAAGCCTGATGGTCCTCAAATAAGCTGTTTCAGGGGATGATGCGGCACAGTTTCGCATAATTTTTTCTCAAGTGTTGCAGAGTTGGCAATGTACCCAATTCAGTAATCCATTGCTAGTTCGACGAAGAGGGGTGGCTTTCACTGCACATAAATCGGCAATCCATTGCTAGTTCGACGAAGAGGGGTGGCTTTCACTGCACATAAATCGGCAATCCATTGCTAGTTCGACGAAGAGGGGTGGTCCAGTGCGCAATGGGGGAGGCTATAGCTTGCACAGGAAGTTTTGTTCAGCATTTGTTTGTTGGAATAACACCTTCTAAAAATTGACTATTCTGGAGATGGATACAGATTGTTGTTGGTAGCAAATCTATGGTTTGTGATTTTGTTTTCTTCACAAATGGTTAATAGGTCTTTACAGCTATTGATAGTTTTTCATACCTAGGTAGAAGACTACCCTGTTATTTGATAATTGTTCAAGCTTTCATAACTTCCTTCAAATAAAATATTTGCAACACTATCAATAGTCGTTTTTACTTCTAATATAATTATTAAACATTAGAAGTCTCTTTCAAGGTCGGGATACCAAAAACATTATATTTTACTATCTTATTAAAGAAAGACATGTTGTTCTTGAAGATCTTTATGTCAATTATATCATCTTGAAAGTAGTGACAAACACAATGTTTTATTTGATAAGTTAACAAGTGTCAAAGACATGAATCTGGAGGAAAGAAAAACCTCAATATACTATTGTATCATTGAAGAAAACTAGAAAGTTATTCAAAAGATGATGTAATATTAACTAGAATGGTTATTGCCAAAAACAAAAAGAATAAAAAGTCTTGAAAAAAGACTAAATATTAGAAAGACATTGACAAGAGTGAAGAAGGCTTCACTCTTGCCTTCATATATACTCTTAATTAGGAACTATATTGTGATGTTTTATAGGACCTCTAAAATGTATTCACTTTGCTAGCCACATGTGTTAACTTGCAAGGCAAGTTATCTATATATGCACCACATAGTTAGCTTGTTGCACAAGCGACTACATAGAGTAAACTTGTTTCACAAGCTACCAACATGTGGTTAACTTGTTGGCCAAGTTTCTATCTTATAAATACATCTAAAGTCAAAATTGTGTCTATAAAGCTTATAAGAAGTTTCTCTAGAAAAATTTATAAAATTAATCTATATTTACCTACTTCTATTTAATCATATAAGTAACTATTAGAATAAATGTATATGTCCATGATATTAACTCCAATCTTTGCTCTCTTTGAAGATGGTTGATTTGCCCTTTCAGCCATCAATAGTGTCTTATATCAAGGATAGAAGACCAACCCATTAATTGGTCATTGTTGAGGCATTTGTAACTTCTTTCAAATAAATCATTTGGACCACCGTTTGGAGTTGTTCTTACCTCTGATAAAATCACCAAACATTGAAAGTCTCTTCCAAGGTTATAATACCAAACACGTTGTATCTCACCATCTATTCGAAGAAAGACATATTATTCTTGAGGATCTTCATTTTGATTTTATTATCTTGAAGGCTGTGACAATCATAATATCTCATCCAGTAAGTCCGCAAATGAAAGCTCTTGAGTTGAATCTAGTGGTTATTGGTTCTCTATCTCTTTATTGGTTCTCTATCTCTTCAGTTTTTAAATACATAGAAGCTACAAAGAAAGATAGAAGGTAGAATGTTATCTTCTTTTGATCTTATTTCTTTCATAACAAAGATTTTCTATTCTTTATCTTGATTTTTATGGATTTTATTGATGAAAGGCATCAACTCTCTTTACAACATTTGTAAGATTCTTTGATGGCTCCCATGTACATTCACTAACATCATATCCGTATTAATAAATAAGATATTTCAATCTATTTTGGCTCCACTTTGTAACTAAGTCTTCTTCTACTTTAAACTCTTCATTATTATTCACTTCTATAAGAGGAAGTAGCATTTATCTTCTTCTCAAGATATTTACTTTCTTATACGAGTCAAAGAAGATCATGTGAAATAGAGGGTGGATCTTCATAGACTTTGATAGATATAATTGATAAGCAACATGAATGATTTATTTACAAATAAGAAAAAATCCCAACCTATGATAGCCCAACTTATCACAAGAATGAATAGTCTTGATGTTGTGACAAAGTAACGATACCTTGTCACCTATGTTGAATTGTAGTTGCTCCTTATGATAGGCATCCACGTTGGATTTTTTTCGTTATTGAGCTTCTTTTAATTATATCTTCATTGTTGCACATAGATCTGACAAATGATTTACTAAATCTTCTGCTATAGGATTATCAACTTTTAAAAAGTGAAAAATATCAATTCATGAATAATAACCATAATTGGCAAAGAAAGGTGTTTGTTGAATAGAAAAATATATCAAATTATTGTATGTAAATTCTACCAATGGTAAAAGAGTTGTCCAATCATCTTAATGATAGTTGATGGTACATCTCAAATACTGCTATGGATTTGATTCACCTGATCTGTTTGTCCATCAATTTGAGGATAAAAAATAAATGAAAGATTTATATCTACCTTTAAAATCTTAAATAGGATTTCTCAAAATCTAGATATAAATTAAGTCCCCTTATCTAATATAATATCCTTTGGTAATCCATGATAGTAATAAATATTCTCAAAAAAAAACTTAGCTATTTCTTCACCTAAAATAGATTTTGTGTATAGTACAAAATGTGCCATTTTGGTGAAGCAATCTATGATTATGAATATAAAATCATATGAACCTATGACTGAAAGATTCGTAATAAAATCCATTGAAACAAAAGACTATGGCTGTTTTTGAATTAGTAATGGTTGAAGAAGTCCATAAGGTCGATGATGAGGAGTTTTGGATCTTGAACTAGTATTGCATGATTGTACAAAGTCTTTGGCTGCCTTCCATATTTGAAGCCATGAAAAATCTCTTGATTTTAGCTGCAAAGTCTTAATGTATCTAAAATGTCTAGTTATTGGAAAATTATGACGAGCTTGAAGGATATGTAATCATGCCATGCCTCTTGGAATATATAATCCATCTTTAAAATATAACAAGTTATTCTTGAATTCAAACTTTGAAGTGTTATAGGACTTATAAGAAGCATCCTTGATATCATGAACAAGAAAATTAGAAGATATACTTGATTGAATTTGCTTGATAAAGGTTAAATTAATAACTAATGTTGATTTTATTACTCAAAGATGAAAATGCTAGAGTTTCAAGAGAATCGTTCTTTATTGATCAAAAGATATATCTCTTTCTTTTGATACAAGACAAATATATCTAGAAAGAGTGTTTAATAGATATTATTTTTTACATTGATAAATAATCTTGAAATTGAATGTAGATAAAGACATGCTCCAACAAGCTTGATGATGATTCAAAACACATGATAATATAAAGTACTTGAAGTTCTTATGATCTGTATACACAGTGAATGGACTTGAGGTACTTTCTAGATAATGATGCCATTTTAAAAATGAACCCATGATTGCAAGGAGCTCTTTGCCATAGATCTCATAATTAATCTTAGCTACTAAAAAATTTTTAGAATAGAAAGCTATTAAGTGAAGGTTTTTATTTATTCCTATTTGTGATAATATGCCACTTATAGCAAAGTTTGACGCATCTATTTCCACAAAAAATACCTTAGAGAAGTTGATACAATACAAGATTGGTACAAAAATAAATTCCTTCTTTAAAGCATCAAATGATGTCTTTACTTCTTTATTCCACTTAAGTTTGTCTTAACAAGTCAATTGTGTAAGTAGAGTTGCAACTTGAAAAAACTTCTTGATGAAGATTTGGTAGTAATTAGCAAAGTCCAAAAAATATTACACATCTTGTATTGTTCTTGGTATCTTCCAATCTATAATAGTTTGGACCTTTTCAAGATCCATCATAAGGCCTTTGTTGGAAATGATGTATCTTAAAAAGTCAACTTGAGTAGTGTGGAATATACACTTTTTTAACTTGGCATATAATTCTGCATCTTTAGGTTTTTGTAATATTTGTCAAATATGAAATTAATGGCCTTTTGTGTTCTTAGAGTAGATTAAAATGTCGTCTAAATAGAAAATGAAAAAATCATCTTGAAATTCATGAAAACCATCATTCATAAGATGTTGAAAAATAGCTAATGCATTCATGAATCCAAAAGGTATGACATTATATTCAAAATATCCATATCTAATTCAAAAAATAATCTTCTATTCATTTCATTTTTTGATACAAACTAAGTTGTATGCTCATTATAGATCTATTTTGATATAGATCTTTGTTTGATTGAGTTGGTCAAAAAGTCTTGAAATCAAAAACAAATGATACCTATTTTTGATGGTGATCTTATTAAGTCCTTGATAATCCACACACATCCACAGAGATCCATCTTTTTTCTTTATAAATAAGATAGGAGCCTTGGTTGGAGTTTTAGAATGGCATATGAAATTCTTTATCAAGTTTCTATCAATATACTTGTTGAATGCAGCCAATTCATTCTACAATAAGCCATAGATTGATCCGAATGGTGGTTGAGCTCTTTCTTATAGATCAATTTAACAATCATAAGGTGAATGCTCTAAAAGAGTATCTGCATTCTTCTTTTAAAAAACATCTTGAAATTCTTGATATTTTTTTTATCATTAGAAATGGGTGTAGCATATATAGCAAAAGATGATTCTTTTTTTGCAACAAGCATGAAAGCTTTCATACCTACCAGCAAAGGTTTGGATATATTAGACTTATATACTTCTACTTCACTAATCCGATCTTAGATTATACTATTACAAAAGTTAAAGTTACAAAAAATCCAATCTATTTGATGATTATATTTTTCTAGCTACAATAATTTTAAAATAACTAGATTGGAAGGAGATCTTATTACATTAAATAATATTACACTGTTATGATCTTTAATTGCTACATCTAAAAGAACAGCCTCATGAATAATATTTCCAAAAGAAAATAAATGACCATCTATGACTTCTATATGTATGGATTTAGTTTTCTTGACTAAAGGTATTTTTTGATTTTTGATAAAATCTTTGTTTATAAAGCATGCTGAGGCTCTTGAATCTA